CTAAGACTTTATTGAAAATTGTATTTCACAACTAAACGAAGTGCTGAAAAATTTAGAATAGCTTATTAAACAATTAAATAAGGCATAAAGTCAGAAAGTTAACACTACTAAATAGTAATCTTAACTAAATGAATAATAATATGTAATAAATTAAATTTAATAAAAATCATGATGATTATTAGATAACATTAAAACTAATTAATTTCTATCTTTCTAAATAAAATATTTACATGATAGCATCTATAAGCTTGATTTGTGGTTACAATCACATAAAGAAAATTGAAGCTTTAAAAATGAATAATATTATTTACTATGAGATAACATATTATATTCTCATAGAGAACATACACATTACAATTTACATTTTTATTAGGTTTGCATTTATTTTTAAGCTTTTTTTTACATTTACTGTTTGTTTATTCTTATAATATTAGTAAATTACATGTAATTAAGAATAGAAATTATTAAAAAATACTTAGATCATCATTCTAAAAAAGTCATACATTTTGGTACTTGCTTCTTTTAAAATTTTAAATGTTAAAATTAAGTAATTTGATCTTTAGTAAATAATTTTCTTATTAAAATTAATTCAAATTTGATATTTAAGATTTAGAATTGCAATTTAAAACTTCACACATTTATCATAAGGAATTCTTGAAATTAATGAAGTTATTGATGAAAAATATCATAAATAAAAACAATTATTATTATAAAATATTTATTAGAATGTCTCTTTTCGCTTAAATGGAAAAGAATGCCTAATTTTAAGCAGAGCTCTAAAGATATGAAGAACAGGCTGACTTTCTATTTCGAAAGTAAAGGATGGAAAGAATAGAATCCTTTACGGATCAATTTGAATTTTTAGCAAATGAGTACCCATGTGCTGTTTATTATTAAGTAGAATAGTTAATTAATTAATATAGGGTTTGATTTATAATTCAGTATATGCTGCTTATTAATCTGCAAGAACTTAAGATGAGGAAATGAGATAGAAGTTTGTGAATGTAAATATTATTTTTGAGTTGAATAGGCATAATCAGTTTAAGAAGTCTATTAGATAGCTCAACATATTGATGATCCACCACATTGGACAAAATAAAGATTGCGAATAATGGAGGTATTGTTAAGAGACAAGTTCAGGAGAAATGCTGATATTAGAGATTCGTTGAGAGCCACTAATAACTATTAATTGATTCATACATTTACACATTCTACTCCAAGCAATCAATATTGGGGAGTAGTAGATGGAAAAGGTTAGAACCAAATAGGAAGATTACTTGAACAAATTAGAACAGACATTAATAATTATGAAGATTAAGACAAATGGTTATTAATGACATTTCCAATTGAATAAGAATCAAAAATGATACCAAAAGTTGAGTTGAAGGTTTTAAAAGGTAATATAATAAATAAATAAATTAATAGAGGGAGAGAATTTACCAAAAATAGAAATGAAACATTCAACATTTTTATATTTTGGATCTCATTAAAGAAATCATGTTCATTTAGCTCATCCTTCTATATCTAGAAGACATGCAGCCATATTTGTCAATAATTAATCATAAATATGTTTAGTAGATTTAGGTTCTAAGGGAGGTACATTTCATAATGAATAATTTGTTGAACCCCATTTACCAGTTGTATTGGCTAATGAAGACAAAATTAAATTTGCTAAAAGTACTAGAATATATTAAGTGTTAATATCTTATGATGATTGTAAGAAATGGTTGAAAGATAAAATTGATAAATTACGTAATGACGTAAGATAATTGGAACGTATTAATAAAGGGAAAATGAGTTAAGAAGAGTTAAAAGCAACATTATCTGGAGCTATAGAAGATACAATTCTAATAAAGAATTTACCTGAAAAAGCTAGTCATTTAGAATTGATGGAATTATTTAGAAAAGAAGGCAAAATAAAAGAATTAAAAATTCCAATTGATCGTTAAACAGGTAATACCAGAAATGTAGCATTTGTTAGATATGAAAATGATAGAGATGCTAAAAGATTAATCAGTGACCGAAATAAGGTATTTGAGTATAAAAATGAAAAACTCCGAATAAAATTAGTTGATTATGCATATGTTGAAAAGTTTTAAGAAGAATTGAGATGGGGTATTACTGAATAATTACCATAACCAATTCAATAATAACAATAATAAATCTAATAACCTTCTTAATTGATTTAACCAACAGTTACAAAACCAGTAGAAATTAAATAAAAAGTACCTGAATCCAGTAGTTCTTCTGATTCTGATAGTGATTCATCATCTGATTCATCTTCAGATTCTAGTAGAAGTAGATCTAAAAGAAAGAAACATAAAAAACATAGACATAAAAAGGATAGACATCATAAGAAACATCATAAAAGATGATATATATTTTTTTAATAAAAAACATCTTCATTATAATTATAAAGTAAATCTATACATTGAACAAGAATAAATCATTTTAGCAATAATTCAGTTTTATCTTGTCCCAAACTAAATGGACCCTTAAATACTGAGTTGTATTTATAATACCCAGGTTAACATTACTTATATGTACATTCTAATCCATAAATTAATATTTCATCAATTATAAGTTCTGAATGACTTTAAGAAATCATAATCTTTATACTTTTATCTTCAACTGATAATTTTATATTAATAATTTCAGCTTCAAGTGCCTTTTCTTCATCTTCAAAATTATCTAAATCTGCAAATACTCCTTTTGCTTCTTAATTTATTGGAGCAGCAATAATTCTATAATGATTATCTAAAGATTTCAGATTTTTTATGATTTCTTTTGTATTTTGTATCACTAAATAACCACTTCTAATAAATATTGGTACTATTTCATTGTATGAACAATACAGAGTATGATCTTATTTACCCTTTAATTCTAATCCAGTGATCAGATCATACCAATTTGAATCTGGGAAATATGCTATTCTTGTTACACCCTCATTTAGGATTGGAGCACCCATTAACTCTTCACCTATTAACAATTGAGTATCCATTACAAAATCTCTATATGTAAGATAATCTTCAGGGAATATGAAAAATAAAGGATTTATTACTAATAATTAATTATTATAATATACTTGAACCATGATTTTATTCTCGAATGAAAATTGAATAAAACCATTTCAATAATGAATATCTTAAATGTATATTTTTTTATGCAGATTAAACAACATGAAATCCTAGTTTGTAGAATTCTTATGGTTTAGATAAATCATTATTATGATTTCTAAAAAATGGATAAAAGAAGGCTAATTAGATCCATCTACAACATAGTTTATCATTTGTATCACCCATAAATCCACAAACATCAGCTCCAACCATAGGAATTCCGAATATTTAAAATTAAAATACTTGTCCCAATGATAAATATAGAAAATTCCATGATGCTCCATTATCTCCTGTCCAATGTTAAGCATATTTACCGGTACCTGGAAATGTAGATCTAGTAATCTGAAATGGTTGTACTTTTCCCAAAGCTTTTTGAGCTTAATAAGTATAATATGAATCCATTATTCCATAGAGATTATGAACATCCTTATGTAAATATTGTCCATGATGTAATAAATGAGGAGGTAATGTTTTATTAGCTAATGGTATTTCTCCTGGAATATATGGAAAGATGATTTCATTATTCAATTTGTCTTCTCTTTTTGGATGATCTCTAATATGTTAATTCCAATCACATTCTCCTTCACAAAAATTTGCTGGTTCATTCATATCAACCCAAAGACCATCAAATTCTACTTAATCATATAAGTGTTAATGCATATCATTCCAATATTAACTGATATTTGGATGAAAGAAATCAGGGAAATAAGAATCACCTGGCCAAACATATCCCTAAAAACGATATCCTGTATATGGAGAATATAAAAAAACATCATACTCTGTTCCTTTTTTGTAACCTTCATCTTCAATCCCATATTTTACACCAACAGCTACATCTAACAATGGAATGTATCTAACACCTAATCCTTTTAAATATTAAAAATCTTTTTAAGGAAATTTACGTTTATCAACTGAAAATATTTATCTATCATCCATATAGTCAAGATCAGTCCAAATAATATCAATAGGTATCATATTTTTTTAATATTATTATACAACATCTATTAAAACACTGCTATTTTTATATCCCCATCTACATTAATGAAATCCAAATCCCCAAAAAGGTGGAAGCATCCAACCTCCCAAATATTGATGATATTTTTTAATTGCAGTTCTGGGAGAAGAATCACCTAAAAATAATTTTATATGTATTATTCCCCCTATAGTTATAAATTTCATTTTATCATTTTCATAATGTACATCAATTGGAGATGATGTTTTATAGAACATTACATTGAATTTACCACTTTCTTCCATACTTAATAAGACTGGATGACTAGAATAAACATGTTTTCCAGGTCTCTTACCATCTTCTATTATATTTGGTTCATCTCTTGCAAATAATGTATAAATTCCTTCTTTAAAACGAAATCCAACTTAATTTCTTTCTCCTAAACCCCACATTTATTTATTTTGTGGAATATGAGTGAATTCAATATAGGTTTCACTAAAGATTAAATCAGTTATTGTAAAAATTGTAGTTTTATCTCTTTGTACTTGTATCACAATAGGATTTTATTAGACTTTGATTTCATAATCATAATGATCAAATTATTAAGGGTCTTTGACATCATTGTAATTGAAAGGCTATTATAAGTGAATTCTATTACAGGACTTGATGGTATTCTAAAGTGCTTATTTGCCTCATCATAGATTTGAATATCAACTTAATCAATGTTTTCTTATCTAATTTCTAATATGAGATTTTATTCTAAATTAATTTTATGTCCTGCTCTTGATACTGTATTTTCACTTGTATGAACTTTAAATTATTTAAAAGCTACAGTATTTTTAACTTGTGTTGTTGCATAACGCGTGTATACTGCAACTTATAAATTTAACAAAATGATGATTAACATCAATTATTATTATTTATTTAATTAAATGTCTAAATAATAATCATATTCCATTTGTGATTGTGGAGAATGTGAGAATACTATTTATTAAGATAATCATAATCATGATCATAATAATCATTGTGATCATAATCATAATCAAGATTTCTATGATCATCATGATAATTTTAAATTTTAATTAGAATAAAGTTAAGATACATAATTTATCAAATTTTATTTGGAAGTTCAGATTATAAATAAGCAGCTATAATAGCATTTTTTAATATCGCATTAGCTGTTTAAACTTTTTATTCAGGATTAATAAGTTCAAGTGTACATTTAACAGAAGAGAGCTTTGATTGTATATTAAATTCAATAGTAATTGTATTTGCAATCTATTGTGGAATTAAAGCAAAAACATTTTAACCAACAAAAACTTTTCCCTTTGCTATGTAAAGATTTGAATATTTATTCTCATTCACATTATGTATCAATATTAACTATGTTACAAATATCAAGAAATGCACATGAAATTTTAGAGGATCTTCACGTTATTAATCATCCAACTGATAAACATGAAGAAAAATAACATAATGAATTGTACTATGCTTAATTTAGAATAGCCTTGTCATTTACAGGGATCTTTTTATTTATTGAATACATCCAATAAAATTTAGTTACTGATAAAGAATTACTTTAATAATTTATACAAAACTACAAAAATTTAATAAATTTAAATCTATCTAAATATTACTATACTCATAATTTGAATAATGCATGCCATTACAATGTGATTTTTATGTGAATTACTCTTCAACATTAGTACATTTCTAGAATTTATGCTTGATAATGCCTTGTCTTATGCAGCTTTAGGTACAATAATTGCCATTACTAACATAATAATTATGATAGTAAAATATTTATTTATATATAGATTTAATTATCACCATTAGTTCAAACTTCTATATAGGTACTTTTCTTTGCAAAAAATGAAAACTTCTCAAGTATAAGACAAAGACTCTCAGAATTCAATAGTGATATATATATTTGGAACCATGGAGCAGTATATAATGCAATAATTATTGGATCAGGATCAAATAAAAGAGAAACTAGATAAAAGATTAAGGAAATAGTCAATGAAAAATTACAAAATTGTTTTGTGAATATGGCTTGATTATTTATAAATTAATCAAAAACATTGATTATAGATCCAAAAAAACGTTAAATTGATATTAAAATAAAAAATTTTTCCGATACCGGGGATTGAACCCGGGTCCCCAGGGTGAAAACCTGATATCCTAACCACTAGACTATACCGGAAATGTTAATATAAATTATTGACAGTAGAATATATACAGAGAAATTTTTATGATTTTTTGTATTATTTATATACATTATTTTATCTCAAATTTTATTGTTTCTCTAATATGCTAATTCAAAAACATTTTCTTATTAGTTTTGTTCTATTTCTGTCAAAAATGATAAGAATTTATTATCAATTAATTCTATACAAAAATTCTTAAAATCTGTATTTTTTTGAATACTCTCAATTTTAGCAGCTTCAAAGCATTTTTTAGCTAAATCTATATTTAGATCTATTTAAATAGGATTTTCATAAATTTGATTAAGCTCCTTCAATAATTATGTTACTTCATCCACATATTTATCTAATGTTAAATTTGGATCTTGATTCTTAGTTATAATTAATCTTAATTTTTCTCTTATTTTTCTTTTAAATCTATCTAAAATTGTTAATATTAAATTACATTCAAGCGTTTTTAATTTAGCTAAAGAGAAACACTCTTTTTGTGAATCACTAAAATATAAAACATTTCCTTCACCATCATCTTATAATTTTGATATTGAAATATTCCTAGTTAAATCCAATAACTTCTTTATAAAATCTTAATAATTTTCTGCAATAATATGATTGAACTTAACTATATTTAATTCTAATGATTATAATAAATTTAAAGTAAAATCTGGATGAAGACAAGTTACTGACAATTCATTACTTACTTTAGGAACCAATGCATAAAATTTAAGTTATACATGATCATATTATACAAGGTGCTAATATTCAATATTTCCACAATATTCTCCAATTAATGTATGTTCATTTAAATACTTCTTTATGGTATCAACATTTTTTGATAATGCAATTATTTTTAACCATTCCTATGCAATTTTTATAGCATATTTGTATCTTGAATCTAGAGGATCATTAGTTATTTAAGAATCATATTATTTTAGTTCAGATTCATCTATACATAATAATGTCACATTCTTTGATCCTATAACCCAACGATCCAAAGTTTTAATATAAGAAATTTATGCATTTTCTCCATTAACCTTTTCCATTTAAGTTATTTTGATTTCAGACTCCTTTGGCAAACAAGATAATGTATAATTATTTATTATTTAATCTGTCTTATTGGTCAAATTTGAATTGCCTTAGCTTTAAAATTACTTTAAATTTCTTTTGAATCAATATAATATTACATATCAAAGAATTTTTTAAGTCCTCTCCTTATAATTGAATATTGATTGTCTTATATTAAATAGCATAGGCCTCTTCTGAAAGTGTTATGGATTAAGGGGTGTTAAGAATATAAATAATCTTCAAATTCATGATGGACTCTCAATTTGATATCGATAATTTAAATATTGTATTCATTTATTATTACCTATTTGGATTGACTAGCAAACAACATATCGTAAGTTTTAACCATTTTTAAAACCTATTCTGGAGGAATTTCTTTAAGCTAATGATTATGCTTTTTTGGATACATTCTTCAATTTACAGCATTCCTCAACTAATCGGTTGATTTATTGTTTTCTTAATTAATTGTTAGATATCTAAGCCAAAGACTTACTAGAGGATATTCCATCCTAATTTATATTCTACTTAAAATCTATAATTACTTATGATTACTAAAAATACTCCTCAGTAAGTTAAGTTAGTTTATCAATGATTTTTCGTTGTTTTTTTTATGATTTACTTTATTAGTTTTATTAATTTTCTTGATTTTAGTCCTTTAAGTCAATACTGCTCATTATTATTAGAATTTTAAATAATAAATGGTTGTAATTGAAATTGCCACTGACTAAATAAAATCCTCAATTTTTGAATTAAAACATATATAAATATAATTAATTCAATCAAAACTTTATTGCCATAAGCTTAGATCTAAGATAATACATATATATTATAAACTAATTTAATTATAATTTTCATTTCTTTTGAATTTTCTATCATTACAAAATTGAATATAATAGAAATGTTAATAAAATTAGAAATAATGTGTTCAAAAATGCTACAATATTATTTATAATTTAAATGAAAATAGAAATGTATTAATAAATACTTTTTAACAAAAAAATTTCATTAAATAATTTTATTCTAATCAATTTTCATATTAAATAATAATCTCAATATTAAAGAATTTTATTGTAATAATAAATTTTAAAATAGTTATCAAATTCCAAAATAAATATTTTATTAAATATTAGACATCCTTATTGAATAAAAGTTCGATTGTTACAGAAGATTTAATAAAATAGAATAGAATAAGTTATAAATCCAAAGAAAGCAAAAGAGGAGCTTCTTATTAACCTAAATTATCAAGTAATGCATTATATATAATTCTCAATATCTGATAAAATACTTGATAAAATGTATAAAATTATTTTTAGTGCAATGAATAGACATCAGATATATGTTTTATTAGTCCCATGAGTAAAAAAAAATGATTGATTATTATTTCAATTTTAAAAGAGATAACTTTTTATCTTAAGATTCGAAAAATTATCTTTAGATTTATAACTCGATCAAAAGAAATCAAATAGGAACAAATATCAAAATGATATAATCTTTCAATTAAAGCAAAAATAGGTTTTGTCAAGTAAACTTAATTATACAGAAAACAGATTCATTTCTCACCTACTTCCATTAGAAGAAATGGTAAAGAGAGAAAATGTTTACTTACAACGAGTAAAAATGTAGTATGTTTTATAACCATGAATAGAATAGACTTACTTTTAAGAATTATATTGCTGAAAAAGTTCCTAAAATTAATAAAATTGTAGACATTTGGATAATTTTAAATAGAAACAAGTGTCTGATATTTCATTATATATGGATTATCATCCTGAAATTATTGAAAAGTTAATGGTAAGGATGGGGAAAGGCTGTTCAAAATTGTTTAATCAATTGTATTATTTGATTAATAGAAATTCTTTTTTTAGAACAAGATTATATTGGCTATCTAAATAATTAATAAATAATAAATTTTTGGTAGATGACATAATAAAAGAGCTACTATTATTGTTAGATTATATAATTTAATAAAAATAAGTAATAGATTAATATAGTCTGGATATTAAGTATAACAACTGTCTCATTATTTTTCTTAAATAATAATTAAATTATTTATTTCTAAATTAATTTTGTAAATTTTTTTGTTATATTATATCTTAAATGAATAGAAATGGATATAGGTTCTAAGTTGAAGCAACTATCTTGAATGTATAATTATTGGTACATATTCCGTGCAAGATATAAGTTGTCATAAAATATGGTACTTTAAAATTTTTAATTATCTTAGATTCTTAAAAGTTAGAGACTAAGTCCCACTATGAATTACAAAAAGGAATGGCTATAATTAATGAGACTCTTTAATTTAATATAAATGCAAATCTTAATCAGGATGGAAACTTAGAAGAAAAAAAAGCCTAATTAATTGTGATATTAGTCACAGAAAAAGGTATGAAAAATGCAGGTTTTCATAGCCTTGACTTTGCTCAATATTTTAATTAATCAAACACATGTACATTAGATTTCTTTTTAATATTTAATTTAGAATACCAAGAGACATTAGCACTAGACAAGTGCCCTGACAAAAAGGCAAAATTATTGATTAACTTTAAAATTACTAAAATAGGGGAATTTGAAAAAGAGTATATATTTAATTTACAATAATAGTAGTGAAACTAAAGATCATTTTTATGATTTAGCATAAGTTTCAGTTAGCCCTTCTGGTCTTGAATCACATACAAATTAAAATTCAAAGGATGCTTCAGAGTAGATATTATTATTATCTGAAAATAAAATAGATGAATCTGGATATAAATAATAGAAATAAGAAAATTAATTAATAAATAATAAAGATATCCAAATTAATGAATAAAACTTATAAATTTAGCAGCTTAAAAGTAAAATTAATGACATGATTGAAAAACAAATCCATGAAAATATGATAAATAAATATGAATAATAATTATAGGATCAAGAAAAGATGTATAAACAAATATAGAATAATAACGAATAAATTAATTTATAATTAGAAAATCAATAACAAAACTTAGAAAATGAATAATCAAAGTAATCTATGGTTCAATAAATTTAAAACTTTAATATAGAAATATAGACCTTATAAAAATAAATTTCAGATAAAAATTAATAAATCTCAGAATTGAATCAAAAAATTGAAATATTAGAGAATTAGTAATCAAAATAAATAGGTTTTAGTTAAACGCTAATAAATAATAACGTAATATTTATTATTTTATTAATATAGCAGTAATCTGGCGAAGAGATTATAAATGAAACTGGAAACTTAATTGAAGAATTATAATCTACTTTAAGAAATAAATAATAGGATTATGAAACTTTACAATAAAAATATGAAATAGAATTATAGAAGAAGGATGAATTAATCCAAAATTTATAATTAAGATTGGATGAAGTTGAATTGAAAGAAATTAATATCACTAGATCAAGTTATGCATCATAGACTTAAATTATTTAATCTGAAAAATTGATATATGATACAAATTTTAAACCTAAATAAGAATAATAAATAAATAGATTAAAAAACCAAATATAGATATGGCAATCCAAATATGAGAATAGTCATAAAGAACTTAGTGATTTTAATAATTAAATTCAACATTTGTAAAGATCAATTGATGATGTACAAATATTTTTAGAGGATCAAGAAGACCTTGTAGAACCTTTATTTTTACTAAGAAGAGCCATTTAAGAAAAACTATAGAATCATTAATTAATTGAATAACATTTAGAGTAGAGAGTCTAAAAATTAGAATAGGAATTAGAAGTGTGTTAGTATTAAAAGAAATTGGAAGAAAGTTAATAAGTAATCTAATATTTAATAAAAAGTGTTCTGATTAGATATTTGAACCATAGATGCATATGTTTATTGATGAAGTCTCTCACCTCAATAAAGCCTTACAATAGTATGAAAATTATATTAATTATTTTAGAAAGGTAGAACAATTGAGAATTCTTCAATAATAAGTAGATCAATACAAGTTGAAAGATTTAGAACAATAAAAGTAATCAGAGGAAACCAAAGTTTAACTTACAAGCTTGAGAACGAATTTTGCAAAAGTTAAACAATAATTAGCAGAAACTATGTAGGAAAAAGTTATATTATAAGCCAAAAATGCAGAGTAATTAAAAGCGTTAAAAGAAAAAAATTAGGAAATTCAAAAAGAATAGGAACTCATAGCTGAACTTGAACAATTTAATATTTAGATGGAAGAGGCTCTTTCATTAACTCTAGATTAGTATAAGATATAGAATACATAAATGAAATAAGCCTATGAAAAAGAAAAAAAGCTTAGATCAGAATTATAAGAGTAAATTAAATCTTTGAAGGAAAATTAAATAAAGAATCTTAAAAATGAGTAACTAAAAATAGAAGAAAAACAACAAAAATGTAATTGCAAAGATTAGATTTAATTTTATGAGTAAAAGATAGCAGAATTAGAATTTTAATTATCAGATTTCTAAATTTAAAAATTAGATAAAACTATCCAAAGAAATAGTATTGCTTAAATTAGAACCAGTATATTAATTAATCATAGAGAATCCTTAGCAATATAATAATTAGAAGAGGCAACAAATTAACTTAACTTAATTAATAGTAATTAAGGGAATGAAAAATTAAAACCTAAGGAATTAGAAGATTAAAATATAAATTTAACTGATGAAAGATTTAAAATATCAAAAGAGTATTAGACAATTTTGGAAAAAGCCCTTTAAACAAATACTTAAATTGAAAATAAATATAAAAATTAAGTAATTGAATTAGAAGAGAAGATTGAAAAGTAAACTTAATGTTTGGTGAGAATGAAATTATAGATTGCTGATTTATATAGTGCAGCGATTGAAATTGGTGGGGCACTTTTGGTAGATAAATTGCATATAGCATTAGGGATCAGAGAATGAATATTATAATAATTATATAAATTGTATATTGATTTATATTTATATTCTTATTTTTTAAGGATATATAAAAAGGAATTAAATAATTTATTCTTATTTAAATAAAAATTTAAATCACAATATAAATACACACTTTATGAATGATGATTAATTTAATAAATAATATTATTAAAATGCATATCTCAAATAAATAATCAGAAGATTTGTCAATTTATCATGGAAGTGATGCACAAAAACTATAGGACCTTTCAAAATTCGATTATAGATAAAGTGCTGTACCTGATAACCCTTGCTATAATTTTCGATTTAGAATTTTCATTTTTTTCAGTTATATTGTTATTACTCAAATTGGTGAGATTTTGGGTACACCATAAGATGACATCAAAGGAATATTTGATGTAGGACACAATTACACAGAAGGAATCAACTAATTATATCATTCTCATGAATGGTACATATTTAATTTAAATTGTATTTAGGTTTGCTTCTCTAATGCAAGTTATCTCTGGCCTAATTTTAGACTTTGCCTTTTTCTATGTGAGTCTTTATTGGGTGTTTTATGTTAGAAATTTTAGATTGTTTGCAGCTTTAATCATATTCTATGGAATCAGGGCAATTCATTTGAATATTTTTAAACTTCAGTTTGCTGATAATTACTATTGGAAGGATCCAGGAGTGCCAACCTTTGTTGTAAAATATGGGAATTATTCAGATTTCTTTTACTCTGTAAGAATTTATTCTTATTTTAGGGTCATGTAGGATTTTTAGTGATTTGTGCATTGGAAATGAGAAAATTGGGAAAGAAATGGTTTGCCTTATTTTTTTTTATATCATCCTTCTTTTAAGCCTTTATTGTTATTTCTTTTAGAATTCATTACACAATTGATGTAAATATAATAAAAAATAAATATAGGTACCAGCAGGATATATTTTTGCACATTACTTTTATAACTAAGTTTGCTATTGGGAAATAAAAATTGATCATGCATTATATTGGATATCTACTAAATGTTCAAATGTTAAAATTTCTAAATCTGTTCCATAAACAACTAAAATTCCAGATCTAGATACAGAAAAACAATGAATTATAATCACTTATTTTAAATTAATAAATATGTATAAAAAGAATGAAATTTGAAAGAGAATTGATAAAATAATCTTAGATGAACATTCTAAAATTATTCTTTATTTTCTTTTATTAATATGTAATTATTTCTAAAATTAAAATTGAACATCCATCTAATCATCTTATAATTATCAAGAATTAATAAATTTCATATTCAAGTTTTTACCAAGAAAATAAATAATTTGACATTAATTATGTGGAAGTTTTATAATAAAAAATTTATTCAATTTAATTAATGAATAACCTAAATAAATTAAATTTTATAAGGAAAAGTTCATGATGTGAAATTAGATTTAGATTTTTTAAGCCCTATAGGTATCTATTTTATACTGTAAAAGTAAAGATATTTAAATTTAGTAGAGTCAATATAACATTATTGAATAGATTAATGGATATTAATAAGGTATAAAAATATGTTATTAAATACTCTTCACTTTTTGGCATATTTTACTTTTAATTGACATTCTGGAGTGATTTTAAAGTTGCTCAAGCCTTTCAATGCAACTGTCGCTTGATCATCATTCTAATATTCAACAAATGCCAAGCCTCTAGCAGGTATCAACTTAATCAGTGAATAACCAGGGTATTACCTAAATAGCTCTGATAACATGATTTCCGTAACAAAGGGAGGTAATGATTCTATCAATAAAACATTATTGATTTCTCCCTAATTTAAATGGCTACTGTTTTGTATTTTCTCATCAAATTTTTTTTATTTCTTTTCTTTCATTAATTCATTTGGCAAATTAGGTTACAATTCTTTGTGTTGTTTTTATTTATAATAAAATTTTCCTTCAATTCTATCAAAAATAACACTCTTTTTGTATGCAAATTCAATAATCTAAAATATCAGGAATAGATACCAATGGTTTGTCATAAACAATCATACCTGACAAAGCTGCTTTTGCATTAGTAGCATAAGTAATGTTTTAAAATACTATAAATGCTTATCCTCTTAATTTTTATGTTTTCTTCATAACCATTTAAAGGACCTCTCCAAATTATGAAAAGAGTATGTATAATACGAATTTTAAGTCCTCTAGTTTAATTTTATCATTCAATCCAGTTATATAAAGTGTTTCTTTGGGTGCTGAATCCTGAATTATTTGATTTGCTGGATGTAGATAAGGCTAATTCATAAATTAAAATATATTTATAAAAATAATTATTTATTCAATTCAATCAAGAAACAATCTATTCTTCACCAGCATCTTTTGCAAATTCTAATTTAAGATCATTATAAAATTTAGTCAAATGAACTTGAGCTATTGCTGTACTATTTACAACAGATTAATTCTACTGAAAAGGATTTTAGTATTATTAATTTATTGGTATAGATTATGTAACTTTATTTTTTAATGCTTATAAATATTGAACAATAGGTTAAACAATTTGGTCATTTTATATTTTATCATCCCCAATCTCACCAAGACTTATTCTTCTATCTTTAAAATAATCATTTCCCCACCATAATTCCTATTCAACATCAAAATTTTTATCCATCAAACAATTTAAGATAATGTTAGTCTCAATGAGTATCTTATCATGCAAATCAGATATCATACTTGCATTGTTTCATTTGTTATTTAATCTTTATTTACAATACATCCGGGTTCTTATTCCTAATAAACCAAAAAATTCTCCTTATAGTACTTTAGAACCATGAGTTTAATTTTTAAGGCTTTTTCAGTAAAATCATTATAACACCTTAACAGAATTTCAGATTTCCCTTCAATGAGATGAGTCAATTAATCGCAAGAATCAAAATAGATTTATTACTTCTAAATAACTTCTTATAAATAAGACTTGGCTGGCTTAGTTCTCATAAAATTTGCTAAATCTTAGGAATCACAAAATGCTAATGCTTCCTTCGAAGTAGTTTAGCTTATTTGAATAGGTTAAGCTTAAATAATTTCATTTTGAAAAGACCTGTTTTTGCGTTTAGAACATTTAATCCCCATTATTTTTTATAATATGTACTTTTAAATTAATATTAATGATGTCAATAATTTATGTTCAAATTAAGATCTCTTCTTTTATAATTAACTCAACTTTATTAATTTCTTTTGTTCAAGGATTTCAAATTGATAGAGCACTTAAAATGTCATTATCTTATCTAGCTTTTTATCAAAGAAAAGAAGTTTTAGATTCTTATTCTATCAATGTATTCTTATAGGTATAATTATCTAAACTTTACCAAATAAAATTTGTTGATTTTTTTATCTAATTTTTCATAAGAGATGCAATATTTAAGAACCCTTCACAAAATTGAATAAGTCTATCCACTTAATGATCTCAGAAAATGAAATATAAAATTTTAAATAAAATTTATTATATTATATAGATATCAACTAAAAATAATAAAAAATTAAAATTAAAACAAAGCTCATAAAATAATAATATATCCCTTTATCAATTCTTAATTATTAATAATAATAAAAAAATAAAAAAAACCTTATTCTATTTTATCATAAAATAATTCTCTCATTTTATTACTTGAAAGTGATTATCAATCATTTGCTTTGAAAAGTAATTTCAAAATATAATTTATTACTTTCAATCTTGAGAAATTAAAGTATGATAAATTCACCAAAAGCTTAGCCACTATTATAAATTTTCTTGATTTCTATGTTTAGAATTGTTGAAAATAACCCAATTTGATATTGAAAATAAGAAAATCATATTAGGCTTGATTATCATTTTTTTTGGAGTCTAGTTTATTTGGAAATTGATGAATAGCCATTTCGATTGCTTTTAAATATTGATTTAATGTTAACTTGAAATTCTCATTTATATGGTATAAATTATTGCATACTTTTTCGATTATTTTAATCTAACTTATTATTTAGATTATTATTAATAACTGAAAATATTTATAGTTTCTTGATTTTTATTTTCGTTTTCTTTAGCTTTAACAAAAAATCTGGATTATTAAATTGTATCAGATACATTATACTAAAAATTATAAAAAAATCAAAATCATTCAATTTCTATGAACAGATATAATTTTAATTTTTATTCAAATAACATTAAACAATTTGATAGTTTTACTAAGATTTACTTAGTTCATATATAAAATAAAAATTAAACGATTATAATTTGAAGATTAATAATCTTTCATATGAATACACATTAATTCAAGATAATTATATCATTTAATACTTTCTTATAATTTTTATATTAATGAATAACAAGTGTTATTAATAAATAATCAATGAAAACTAATTTTATGAAAATATATCTAAAACAAAATAATAATGTGTCAGATCAAGGGGTTTTTGTTGTAGTTGGAGGAATATATGTTTAACAATAAACACATTATTTATTAGTTGAATCCCAAATGTAATTATAGAAGGAGTTCACAAGACAGTTAGAATAATCAAGATGAGAGACATCTTAAGCTTCTTCACATTTGATCTCAGCCCATCTACAGAGTAGAGGATCATCTTCTATAAAATTTTATCTCTATAAAACACATGTACTCTCAGAAGTGTAATCTGAACATGATATGACTGTACATTTATTATCCTTCCATTGACATCCAAGTCCTTCTCCATAGATGAAACATAATTCTTCATTATATAATTCATCACAATATCTGATATCCACTACTTTACAACTCTTATTATCCCAGTAACACATCCTCCATTAACTTTCGAAACCTGTACAATCTTCTTCAACATCCCCACATTATTAAGTTTAATATACTTAACATTTGTTTCCTACATCTGAAGGCTCACAAAATAGATTTAAGTTTTGATCACCTATTTTGTAACAATCAAATGAATCGTTCATAAAGTAATCAGAACATTTAGTAAATTTTTCACATTTTGAAACATTCCATGAGCAAGAAGCAACTCTATTACATTTATCTTTATTGTAATATTCAGAACAAACTCTTGTTCGGCAACCTTCACTTTACCATATACAATCAGTTTATTCTAAACAACTTGAATCTGTTGTGAATTTAGAGCAGGTACACTAATTGCTATAAGATACCCTTAATGAGTATGCTATAATAGAAAGACAAAATAGAACTAATAGAGTCATGACTAAATTAAAAATCAAAAATTCTAATGTACTTTATGTTTATATCAAGTTAAAAAACCTAATCATATCTAAAAATTAATGAGAATAAATAAAAAAAAATAAATGTATATATAAGCATACATTAAATCAGAAAGATAGAAATAAAGCTTAATGAGAGAATTAAAAAACGAATAGTAAGGATTTAAAAATAACGTAAATTTGGAATGATTAAAATAATATATTAATTAAAAGGAGTTATTTTGGTTTTTCAAAAAAATAAACCAAAAAATAAATAATATTCATATTGTATAAATTCATGAGATTTATAAAAAATTATTGTTGTCTAAAATGAAAAAGAACTCAAAATTCTACACCTTTAATTAAGTAAAATAATTATGTTTTATACAATTCTTTATATAATGAAATATTTTAGAAAATAATTGTTAATAATCATTAGTCTAATCAATCCTTCCTTTTTGTTATATCAAAATCTTTTGCTTTCCATTAATATTACACTAATACTACTAAATCAATATTTAAAGCATAACAATTATTTCAATATCTAAAAATTAGAACAAACATTAACTTATTTATAATGGTTGGCAATTTATTCTTAATTATCATTGGATTGCTTTTAATAATAAGTATGTGCACAAATCATAATATTAACAGATGTAGATAAAGTGTTCAAAATTATTGTTGGTGTTGGTTCATCAATTAATTCTATTTTGCAGCCAAATATATTTAAGTTCTACTTTACAATTCCATATATGATAATAGTTATAAGTGTAATGTTGTATGACAGCAGAACAAAAGAGATTAAGGAGAAAAAAGAATCTATTTAGAATTAACAGACGAATCTAATTACTTTTAAGTAGAAGTCAATTTAATTTGATAAATAAGCATCTTAACAATAAATTCAAGATAATATTCTTCGTTCTCCAGATGGAGAATATCCTGATATATAGAATAGTCCTATAATTATGGATTTATAATGTAATGAAGAGGATGATGTTCTTGCATAAATGTATTTTTTAATATAATTTTTAGGGCTTGGATCCATAATTAATCCATTTTAGTTTACAATCAAAACTTTGAAATAGTTTATTAGAATTTTTTCTTAGGAAAACTCAATAAAAATTAAAATAAAGGATTACAAATTGATTATGAATCAACTTTCTTGGAATCTATAATCGAAATAGGAAGTCGAGAAGTTAATGATCTATTTGGAAATTCTGAAATTGATTTAGATTAAGATAAGTAATAATAATAAATTATATTATTTCATAGTTCCTTGTTTTTGGATAATACAGTTCATAGTAGATATAAAATAAAGGGTGGATTACATAAGATTAAATAAATGATAGGTCAATTATATAACAATTATTCAAAGTAATTTAAGAATTAATTTTTAGATGGAAATTCTTTACATTCACTCTTTTTAAGATTAAAAATGATGAATTAGATTTTGATAATTTGAATATTAAAGTATTAGTTACAGAAGTGAAATCAAAATTATATACACTATTTATGTTTGAACCTATTCAAAAAGCAAATTCAAAAAGAGTATTAGATGAACCTCTTTAATTTCAGAATGTATTCTAAACCTTTTTATCTGAATCAAACAATTATATTAATGCTATTCATTTGTTGATTTTATTATGTTCTCATGATATAGAAAAGAATAATGGAAAAGTCTAGAAAGATTATCTAAAGTAAATGCGTATGAGCACTTAAAAATTCATGATGTTCTTAGGTACTATGAAGGATTTGACATTATAATTAACAAATTAGCTTACATTTCGTAATTCAACATTTAAAATAACTGATATTTTGGATGAATTATAACTTATATATGATGATTGCTTAAAAATAAAGGAGATCTCTATAATTCCAATTATTGACTAAGATATGCTAGTATATAATGATTCTGAAAGAGTAATATTAATATTAATTGATATGATAGACTAAACAAGTTTTAAAGTGTCTATTTGAAATTGCTATAAAATACACAGTCACTTAAAAAATTAGAATTGACATACATTAAGTTTCACCAAATAACTATTAATTTTAAATTAAAGATATTCCATTTAGAGATGAGATTTCTTAATTAGGTTATTCAACTGTATTAAGGAATACAGCTTAATTGATGAAGACAAATTGTAAAGATTTTGATATGAGTAATCTCTTGGAATTATAGGTTTCTGCAATGATAGCATTTTTATTATCTGGATCATTAAGAAAATCATTAGAATTAACATTTGATAATCATATGTCAGGAACATTTACATTTACTGTTGAATCACTTCCAATTAATAGTAAATAAGCATACTATGCTTAATAAATGAAACCTAAAAGACCATTTGAAACATCTTTATCTATGTTATTAGCATAAGCTTAAGATAGCTCACATTATAAAAATGAAGAATCAAAATATATGTCATTTACTTAAATATCCAAACAATATTCATTAAAACCTGACACACCCTTTGATTTATAAAGTGCTCACTTTTCATAAATATCAAAAATCAAATAAGAATCACCTTAGATAAAACCATTGGGATCTCAACATTAAAGCAATTCAGGTGGAACTAATAAATTTTAAGATTCTTTATTTCCTAAAAGTTTAAATAACAATCCCTCTCGAGTTGTCAAAAGTGATTCAGGTGTTAATATTTCATCTAAACCTCCAACTAGTACTTTGGATTTTGGAGATAGTACTAATCCTAATCTTGATCCTCCTGAATTAAGTCCAAAATTTTTACATTCTGTGATAAAATTTAAACTTACGAATTAATGTTGTTCAAAAGTTATTATTGCTGATAATGATTACTTAAATGTTTAGGTTCTGTAGATTTTATTAAATAAATATGAAGTTAGATCAGATAAAGCCTTTACTCAATAATAAACATTATAACTTATAAGAAATAAATAAGAAAATCCTTGCAGATGTAAAAATGGAGCATACTTATTATATTTCATAGATGCCTATTTACCTGTATCTATTGTAATCTATATTAGTAATCAGGAGTAGAATTAATCAAAGAAATAAAAGGTTTATTTAGAACTTAGTAAGTCGATAGAGGCTTCATAATTGCAATGGCTAGTTATAGTGATATGGAACTTAAATTAAATTGTTTTAATTCAGGAATAGACTATTTTATTGCCAAGCCTTTTGATCTATTTGAATTATCTGCTATCCTCCAATATATATAATTTTGATTAATATATTTATTAATGGTTTACGGCAGATTGATTTATAACAATGTAAAGGATTACACTCCTTAATGGTTTAAGACTATCCCTTATTAATAAACAGTCAAACCAAGTTTTGGTATGATTTAATAAAATAACAATCTTTAGTCAGAAAACCATAAGTTGTTTCTAGATTGAATGCTGATCCAAAAGTCAAAGCTTTCTGGAGATTCTTAGGAAGAAATGTTGCTGATAATCCTTGGGCTTGGTAAGTCTATATTTTTGCTAATTCTGTTATAATCTTTTCATTATGTTATTATCCATGGCTCTGGGTTTATTAATTCAACAACAAAAAAGTAAGAATTTCTAATCTATCTTTCAGCGAACTATTGATTATGCCCTACAATAAGAGAAAGAATTTAAGGCAAAATAGGATGCTGCTTAAGAATGAGTTATTATTACACAAAATACAAATTCATAATAAGTATTTTCTAATTATGTTAATTCAAAATTTGTTTCTTTATTATATTAATAATATACTCTTAATAATCATAAAATAGACATTAAAAATGTTAATCTAAAGATAGCTTCATCAATATCTGACTCACATTATTATAATACAACTCCAAATTACTTTCTAAAAATATTAATATAAATACTTTAAATCTACTTCATTATCTTTATTTTCTCTTAATAATGCAACCATTTTCTAAGATTAGTATGTCAATTCATCATTCAATGTATAACTTATAAATGTATTTCTCAAACTAGGAACCTTTGTAATATCATAAGAACTTATTGGCAAATCAATCATATTTTTTGAATTATCAAATAATCCATTCTAATCTATTTATATATTTATTTTACATGACATAAAAATCCATAAAATTATTGAACAAAAAAATGTGTATAACTCCCAATCAAACCAGATAATGCTCCCTTAGTTTTTAATATAACTTTATCAGAAAGTACTGAAACTTCTTAAAACACCTTTTAAAGATTATCCAAAACTTATTACTAACAACTAGGATTAACAATAATTTAACAGATTGCACAACCATTCTCATAAAGTACTACATCTTCTTAATTTAAAGATTAGTATTATTCTTAATCAATTAACTGTATCAAAACAAATTATACAGGTAAATCTTATAAAAATGATACACAAACATTGAATTCTTCTGTTATTTTAAAAGTATCCACTTAAAGTTTATTATAATCAAATCCTGGCAATTATTCAGAAAAATGTAAAGATATTGCCTTTATATCAATATTATATTTCAATATTTAAAATGGCTTATATGGGCAAATCAAATGAAAATATAAACAATTAGATTCTTTAATCTAATTAGACTCTAAGTTTATAGAATATTATGATTCTTGTATAACCATTTCATGATTCTTCTTTTCTTTCATAATTATTAATCTATCTGAAATTTAGCTTTATAGATCTCTTTCTAATATGGCTAAAAAATGATCATTGGCACAAAAAGATCTAATATTTCCTTTTTTACATTCATAGACAATATGACCATCTGCAGTTCTAATTTCTTTTGGTTATTCTTCTAATGAAGCTGAACTTACAAAAGTATTAACTATATTTTAATCTATATTGAATTTATATCCTTTTTTATAGTTTACAATATCTTTTCCATTCAAATCTATAAATTTATTTTCATTTGCCATATCAATTTCAATAGCTGCTTATCCAATACCAAAATTCCTGATTTTTACATTTTCACCAGGTGATATTTAATAGACTATTGTTCTTTCTTCAAAATTCAACAAATTTAATTTTAATACATATTTTTAAAGATTAAGATCTGATTTTTCAATATAATAGAGATAATTTTCAATAAAAGTAAAAGTATTATCAACATTTTCTAAAACTAATTGAATTTTATCTGAACGAACTATTAAGAAATTTAAGCCTAACTATTCAATTACACACCCATAAGTATCATGAGATTTATTAGGCAAGAACTCTTTATATAAAGATTGAAATTTCTCTTCCTTTTAAATTGAAAAATTAAAAATACTTCAATATCTAGAATTAGATCTTCATAATGTTTAGGTATTAGATCTGCAATTATTTTACCGCTAAAAACTAATTCATCATCATCTTTAATAAGTTCTTTGTCTAAATTGCTACTCTCATTAAATAGATTATATATTCTTACTTTCATTTTTTCTCTTATATATATTATAAATTGGATGACCTTCTTTAGAATCCTTACTAAAGTATGTGTAATCATTAAATACAATAGGAATATTTTAATAATAATCTAATAATTCCAAGTATCTATGCTTTACTGTTTCTTCCCTTCTTAAAGTTTAGATTTAGACTAATTAAGTGTATAATGATTCTGAAAAATCAAATTAAGCAACTTTATCAACTTCATAATGCTTATCTTCAAAATATCTAAAAAAATCACCTTCTAAAAATAATTTAGGATGTTATGGATAAGGAACTAATAAAATAAAATTTAATTTTTACTTTATTTAATAGCTTCTGATGTAAAATCATTGATATTACGTATCCAAGGAGTTTTAACTTTTTATTGAGGATCTGGATTAAATAAATGTGCAACTGCTAAATCTTTTTCTTTTTGTAATTCTCTTCTTGCTAATACTTATCTTCTCATCACATTATCTGAATCCAATCTTTCTTCATATGATTATATTTCATGAAAATATGTATTTGTGCCTAATTTAATATCTAAATTCTTCATTCTAATTCTTTCTAAATCACTTATTTCTGTTTATTAAGTAATAAACTATTCAATTTCTTATTTAACATTAAGTGGTTATTTTATAGTTTAATGAGGAATTATTTATTTTTCATCTTCATCATCTTTAAGAAGTTTGTTTTTCAATTTTGTTATGAAACCATCTTTTCTATTAAATAGATTAATTGCTCTTCTGAATCTAAACATTAAATCACAAATAAAAATATAAAAAAAAAACTCTTGTTAATTTTATCTTCTTAATTAGAATTCTTTATAAGAATAATTATGAATAATAATTATAAACTATATTTATATGTATTTTTAGATATTTTATATAATTAAAACTTCCATCATAAGAGCTTAAGTAGTTCTAATAATTCCTTGGCTTCTGCTGTAATTTCTAATTATTAATTTATTGAATCTAAATAATGTTAATCATATATATACGTATAATATTATTTAATATGGTTTTAATCTATTTGTCACTTTATAATTCATAAACAATTTGTTTTAGAGCAGAATAAAATTGTTGATCATAATTTCCAACAAAATATAATCCTAAATCTGTTGACATTGCCAAAATTATTTAATTGAATACATTTTCATCAAAAATCTCATTTTATCTTTATTTGATATACTCTTTACAATGATGCTTAATAAATAAAAGTAGATTTCTATCATTCTTTTTATCTAATTAAACTTTTAGATTGAAAACATCAAAAAATGTATGTTATGATAATATATCTAAAGATTTTTTTGTATATAATTCCATAGTGTCTTTTAAAGCTTTCTATTACTCTTTAGGTAAAAATAGAATTGCTTCTCCTAAAGCTACTTTATTTAAAAATACTCTTCCAGACTTTTATAATCCAAAATTAATTTAACCATTTACAACACTTGGATGATTAGGATCAGCAAATAAATTTTATGGTAGTTAAATATTATATTTTTTACAAGTTATTACAACTAAGTTTTCAACAAGTAATCTATAACCAAATAAACAATTATCAACTAAAACTTTTGTATTTACTTCATGACAATCTTATTATATTTTTTATAATGATCTCTATGTTATCATAAGACCAAGAGCCATATCTTCAATTTTTTTTTGAATCTCTTAAATTACTTAACTTGATGCTGATTTCTTACTTTCAAATAATTCAATCTTAATTTATTCATATAAAGTAGATAATCTTGGCTATAAAAACTGAAATAATTCATCTACACAATCATTATATTCAACTAATTTCTTTTATGTAAGTAAATCAGTGATTTCTTTGTTTGTAAATAATTCTTATTTATTTTATTATTTCTTTTTTTGTGGTTATTATTACTTTTTGTTTTTCTTGTTTGCAAATCCTCCTGCAGAAGCTTATATATCCTAAACAGTATCATCTTGGTTTTGTTATTATTCAATCAATTTTTATGGATTTTGATAAATTGATTCAATAATTTTATCTTTAAATGCCAAAGCCAATTTATCTAGGAATGTTTTATTATATATCATAAAATTGGCATATTCACAATTATTTAATTACATCAATGAAAACAATGTCTCAATATCTTAATCACTTAAAATAACAGGTAAAATTTCCTAAAGATTTGTATGACCTTCATTTATGAGTAATTCTTATATTTAATCTTGTTTTGATATTAAAGCATCTCTACTAAAACCACAAGTATCCAAAAAGATAACATTATCTTTGAACATTTACTTTAAATATTCTTTTGGTTTTTGAATGAAAAACTATTAATAAAGTTTATCATATTCAACATAAGAATTTTATTAAAAAAATGATTTTACTTAAGCCTCTTGACTTTGAATAAATCTAGAACTCACATATTAACCTGAAATAATCTTACCATCAAGTTATTTGGTAATTAATAATTATTCACAAATTTTTTAAGAATTTTGAATTTCTAAATCCTTATTTAATTTTATGAAAGAAACAGGACTCAATGTTGCTCTTAAAATACCACATAATTTTGCAGTGATTATTTCAAGGTAAGTCACAGTTGTCAATTTATCTTCATTAAGTACTCCTTAAATAATTGTCCCTACTTATTAAAGTACATATTTTTATACAAATTACATAGGAAGTGCATACTTCTACATTACTTATAATAAAAATTTAAATGATTTATACTTTCTTATAATGAAATAATTGACTTTTATTAGAGATCTTCGTTAATCTCTTCACAAACATTTAGAATATAATCATGAGACATCATTTCATCTTGCATTCTGACAACATCCTGTTATCGATATTTAATATTAAAATTACCCAACCATTGCTATCCTTTTCTATTTATCCTTCAATTTTATCAAATCCTATGCCCAATATATCGGGTAATTGATTCACAGCCACTCTCTTATTTGATAAAATTAGTTGATGAATCTCTTTTGACAATTGATTTGGTGTCACCAAACTTTGACCATCTGTTGAATGATAAACCTTTAAATCATATTCTTTAACTAGTTTTTCAATCAAATCAATTATGATTCTATCAGATAATCTATACTTTGTTGATGTTTCCTATATTTCTGCTAATTATTATTAAAGAGCAAATAATTCCTCCATATATATAAATATATTTATAAAACGATTTTCTATTTTTATTTAATTTATATAGATATAAACTATAGAATATTTCTATTTTTTACGGAAACATTATTAACAATAAGAATAAATCAATCTATGCTATAATTTAATGATTTCTTTTTTTCTTCAGAAAATATTGCTAACAATTCTAATCCTGATATAGTCTTAATTGAATTTGTTATTTCACAAGGTGGTAACAAATATAATATACCATTCCCTAATTAAGCCACTCCAATTTTATTTTTTTCAAGAAAGTAATCAATATATTCTTAAAAAGCACTATTCTATTTTTATAATATATTAAATCTACCTATGTTTAATCAGAAGGACATAAAATGAATTTAAATGAATCATTAGCGCATTTCTTGGCATCAGAATAATTCCCCTTATAATTGACTTATATTTATGGACTCATTTATATAGGAGGCTATTTATATATAAGATAAAATAAATGATACATCTGATTCTACACAAAAAGCATCTACTCCTACTCTATGACTTTTACTTCTATACATGAAACCACTCCAAAAATCATTTAAATCTTATCTCTATTATATTTATGAGAAATTTAGAAATCCATCTAATATTTCTTAATTACCACTCTATTAAATTTAAGTAGATTATTATTATTATTAATGAATGTTTGATTAAATTGTAGTTTCATTTGAAATCTGATTTTAATTCAAATATAATTATTTTGGATCTGGAAATAATTATTATTAGGGTTTTTTTTAATTATTTTAAATATAATTGTTATTTTGATGATGCATTTATTAATGCATAATTGGCTATTGATATAATTGATATGATGGTATTTAATATGGTAATTGAATTTATTATGGAGGGATTTATTGGGATTTCATTATGTTATTTACAAATTGTTATTATTATTATAACATTATAGGTGGTTAAGGTTAAAATTAATTTTAAAATTATTGTTGTGTAGGAATTGATACTATACCTACTTCACATTTTGGATCTCCAAGAAGTTCTGCTGCATTTTATTATAAGTATGTTCTCATTTGTATTGCCTATTGTGTATCTTTAAATTAAAGAAGAGTATAGGATTTATAATTAGAATCTTATTGATAATAATTCCAAAGGAGAGGACGACATTTATTATTTTAACAAATCTGACATAATATGATTTTGAAAAATTACTTCAAATAAAAATGCATGATCGACTTTTTTATTTAAATTAGGAGGAAAAAATATAAATAATACGGATGAAAGTTTAGATTATTATTCATTTTATAAACTAAAAAAATGCTATAAAATTGTATTTACTTATTTCCAACAATATTGTGTCTTTTGATAGGGTCAGAAAAATAAATTTTTATTGGTGTAGAAAATTATTACTAAATATTATCCATATTTTAAAAAGCATAAATTGCTTAATCTATCTAAATTCAAATAAAAAAAAGTTTATACAGTAAAAAATTTTATATAACTGTTAAATATATTATGCTTATTAGGATACAGATCAATCCTTTCTATATAACCAAATTATGAGAATATCTATAATTTTCACATTGTAATACCTATCTTATTTGTGGTTCATCATAGTTCTTTGAAATTCCATTAACAAATAATTCCCTAACATAAAGTTGGATTTGAATTTTCGGGCATGGTTCTAAGGGAGTAATATGACCGCTTGTTAACACGTATCTATGTTTCTCTTATGATCTTGATCTTGATCTAGATCTAGATCTTTATTTAATGATCATTTATTTATCAATTTAAGGTTTTACAGTCCAATCTCCTAAACTCCCATTTTAAATTGCTTTTTCAGCTGATTCATTATCAGCAAATGTAATAAATGCATAACATGATAAATGTAATGGAAGTCCTACAATTACTTTAATGCATTACCAGTAGGAGTTTTTCTAATTATTCTAATATCGATGATATTTCCAAAACTTTAAAATGCTTATTGTAATTGATGAGCAGCAATATTAAGAGGCAAATTTGAAACATGAATTTTTTATTTGGCTGAAATATTTGAAGAAGGTATTTGAATAGCTAAAGCTTTTTAAGGGGATGTATTTTGAAAGGGAGGAGAGAGTGAACTATTAAGCATAGAAATTTTAAAATATTAATATCATTTTGATATAATATTAAGGGTTTATAAATTCCATAAATAGAGCCATTATATGATGAAATCAATTTTATTCATCTAAATATTTACTATAAAAGTAAATTCATGTGTTCATTCTCAATAATATAATTTTAATATTAAAAAATACTCTGTTTAATAACTAACACAATTTAACATATTGATTAAAAATTGATAATATTATATTCTAAAAAGAAAGAAAAACAAATACATTATTATAAACTATTTTAATAGTGTTGTTGTCATTAGATTAATAAAATTATTTATTTATTAAATCTTAAAAGATTTGAAATAATTATATTATATATATATCTTATAAATTTTACAAAAAATAACAATTTTATTTCAATTTGATTGTATAATAATAATAAATCATATATATTTAATATCAAAAATTCAAAAAATATTTACTTAATTGATTCATATACTTGAAGTTTTAACTTTATTAGATGGCTATCTTGGTGTCTTTTTAAATTCACTATTAGCTTATGTTCTAACTCTAATATTTCTATTATAAGTGGAAATAGAATTCAATTTATCATCAAATTATTTTTAGTAATATTGTTTTACAAAAGACTTTATAGCATCATCATTTATTTAAGATGGTTGTAAAGTTTAAGAGTTTGTTGGAGTAAATAAATATTAGGTTGAATTGAATTCTTCTGCAAGATCAATCTTTTAATGATTAAGTTTTAAAAGTGATACTACTTCAGGTTTTTATTTAGCTTTTTCAATATTGTCTCCTACAGGAGCTTATTATTATAAAGCCATAATAAAATTAGCTTCTTTTTCTATGTTACTTATTGTTCCCATTCTACGAAAAACTCTACCTGTATTAACTTTTTAAATATTTTCAGTTTAAAACTTGATGTCTTCTAATAAGATTGGATCAAATTTAAGATTTATTGAATCTTTATTCTAACCTAATCTATTAATGTAGTCAACAAGAGCATAAAATTTCATATCTCCAAATTCAAAATATTTTTTAGGTTTAGTTTAACCTTCCCTTAATTCTTAAGAAATTTATTTAACTCTTTATAAGTAACTTTTACTAAAGACATCTAATTTTGGAGGTCTAAGTGAGTCAGCATAACTTTTAACTGCAAGCATTTTTTGTAAAAGTGCAGCATTCTTTTTCTTCTCATATTATTTATATTGTTTTAGTATGGCTAGTTCAGCTGGAGTAAATTTTTCATTGAGATCTGTATGAAATATGTATATTACCAGCAGATTCTTTATAACCAACACCTAAATCATATTTCATTAGAAAACCAGGTTACCATCCTTTTTGACCAAGCAATCGATCTGGTTGTATTTTAAGTATTTTATGTCCTGGAGGTCCAATGTTTTATTATGTTTGATCGATCTAATATAATTTTAGCCTACTTTGCAAAACTATTTACGACAAAATTTCCTGGCAGTATCTTTTTCACATCCTTCTTCTCGCAATTTCAAATACATCATTACATTGTTGTTGTAAGAGAAATTTAGATGAGTACACATTAAATATAAATAAAATGACTGAAGAAATTGAACCTCATATTGCTAGAAAATTCGAAATCATTCAAAAATTAGGTAAAGGTGCTTATGGAATAGTTTGGAAGGCTGTAGATAAGAAGCTAAAGACAGTAATAATTGAAAAATAAAATATAGGTTGTTGCTTTAAAAAAAGTATTTGATGCTTTCCATAATGCTACAGATGCTTAAAGAACATTTAGAGAAATAATGTTTTTATAAGAATTAAATGGACATGAAAACATTGTGAGATTGTTGAATATTATAAAAGCAGAAAACAATAAGGATATTTACTTGGTATTTGATTATATGGAAACAGATTTGCATGCAGTGATTGTAAAAATGATAACTAATTAAATAGAGAGCAGGTATACTAGAAGAAGTTCATAAAAAATATGTTGTTTATTAAATTTTGAAATCACTAAAATACATACATTCAGGAGAACTTATTCATAGAGACTTAAAGCCTTCTAATATTTTATTAAATTCTGAATGTCATATGAAATTAGCAGATTTTGGTTTAGCTAGAAGTATAGCAATCACTGAAGATGATAGTTGTATGATGATATTTAAATTTAACGTTTAGCTCCTCCTGTATTAACAGAATATGTTGCTACTAGATGGTACAGAGCTCCTGAAATATTACTAGGATCAACTAATTATACTAAAGCTGTAGATATGTGGAGTGTTGGTTGTATTTTAGGTGAGTTGATCATAGGTAAGGCAATCTTTCCAGGAACATCTACATTAAATTAAATTGAAAGAATAATTGAATTATTAGGTAAACCAAATGATGCAGACATTGAATCACTTGAATCTCCATTAGCTGTAAATATTTTAGCATCTGTTTCAATTCAAAAAAGAAGATCATTCTAATAATTTTTTTCAGGAGCCTCAGATGATTGTTTAGATTTATTAAGAAGGTTTAAATATCATTTCTATTTATTTCATAGACTTTTACAATTCAATCCAAAAATGAGACTTACTGTTCATTAAGCTATTAAACATAAGTATTTGAAAGAATTCTCATCTCCTGATGAAGAAATTGAATGTTCTGAGCCTATTAGAATACCTATGAATGATAATAAGAAGTTTTCAATTAAGGAATATAGAGAAGCTTTGTATAATGATATAAATAGAAGAAAAAAGGAATAAAGAAAGAAATGGTAGGCTAAATATTTACAGTAATTAGGAATGAATCCTGATGAGCTTATTAATGGGTATTAAAATTATTTATATTTTACAAGTATTCATTAGGAATAATCAGAAATGATATCTTAAGGAAAACCATAATAAGGACATGAAAATGTAAATGGGAGTTCTATTTAATATTAATCTTAACAATAATAATAATAATAATTATAGAAATCTAATATTGAGGAAATACAAAATATAATTAAATAACAATAAATCTAATCACAATAATTAAAGAAATCTTAAAGTTAAGTTGGAATTCAATAATAATAGAAATTAACTAGTTAAAAAAGTGCAAGTAATTTTGTTTCTTAAATGTATAATACATTTTAATAATAAACATAAAATTTGGATAATAAATTTTATTAATAATAATAATTCTTATAATAACAATTGTAATAATTACAACAAAAATCTTAATAGAAGAAAAGGACTTGATTTTTAATTTATATATATAATTTCAAATAACATATTTTAATATAATTTGTTGTTTGAATGAAATAGTCTAATATAATTTTGTTAAATTAAATATCTAATTTAATGTCCGAAGAATAAGTGTAATAAATAGATTCTAATATTGAAAATAAACCAGCACAACCTTTAGGACCTAAAAGACCATAGAAAGAGCCTTAATTAGAAAACTTAGATGAGATATTTAAGAGAATTTCTGATGATTTTAGTGATGTAGCTCCACTTTAATAAATTGCTTAAAAATTTAATGTCAATCCTGGATAATTAATTTTAGGTATAATTTTTGTTGCATTTACACTCACAATATTTGGAGCTGGAAATTTATTAGTCAAAATATTGATTGGTATTCTATATCCTGCATACATGAGTGTTTAATGTGTGAAATAAAAGGATAATGCAAAATCTAAAATTTGGCTTTCTTATTGGGTTATTTATTTACTCATGTTTCTGTTAGATAGAGTGATGTGGTTTGCATTTCATGACTTATTGTAATTGTATTTCCCTATCAAAAATATGACTCTTATTTGGATGTATTATCCTAAAACCAGAGGTATTTACGTGTATATTTATTTTAGGTGCAATAATAATATTTGACAAACTAGTGTTATAACTCAATAAATTGGGTATTCTAGAAAAGCCAAAATAAAAACATGAGTGATATATAAATGCATTAATCATTTATTAAATTTCTTCATTGCCAATCTCACTTTCAATTTTCCATTCTCAAATGAAGTCGTGGCATTAAAATCTCCTCTAAAATTTCCTTTCAATTTTTATTGTAAAGTCTCCTTAAAGTACTCTCCAAAATATAAATCTGAAACTCCATATAAGATTTCATTATGTAATGGAATCTAACAATTTGGAATTAATAGTTCTGATATTGTTTCACCATTCTTAAATTTTAACGAGAATGGTAATTCATCATTTTATTATTTCATCATTCCTGTTAATGTGCATTACAACTATTTAATTAATAATATTTATACTTATTCTCCAATGAATTCAACTGTATTAGTTCTAATAGATACTTCTTATTTAGATAAAGACTTTAATTCTTATATTAGATTAGATGCAAATTTAATCTCAAAATCTGAAAATGTAAATTGTTTATTTTGATAAATTGCTTTGAATTAAAAACTCCTACCTTCTAATTTTTATGGAAGAGCAAATAATTCATTCTTGATATAATGTCTCCATGATTTACCTGAAAATCTTTATAAAACATTTTCAACATCTATTTCTTATTTGAGAGTATCACTAGTCATACAAGCAGATCCATTAGATGAGAAACTTAAATACAATTGACTATCTCCAAAAGATTATTTAATGATTTCTATTAACAAAAGAAATTCCTTCTTGTAACCATGTTATAAACCAATCATATACCAATTATCATCATCTAATTAGTATCCAACTTCACTTTTACATAAACTACATGCTCTTTATTAAATAGGATTATTGCTACAAGGTGCTAATTCTAAATAATTATTTTTATTATTAAAATGAATAAATGTTTAATTTTAAGCAGGTACTTTCTACACAAATTCATCTTATGGAATCTATTCTCTCTTTTTTTTCTTCTTTATTATTTTTTTTTCCATCTCTTCTAAATCTTCAAGAGATTAAACTTTAGTTTTTTTAGCAGAATTTAAAACTTCTAATATTTCACCATCATCAAAATCTTGTTTCTTTTATTTCTTCTTCTTTTATTATTTAGGAACTTATATTATTTAATCATCATCACTCCATTCTTCTGGTATTTCAATTATTTACTTTTTTTTCTTTTCATTTTCAACATTCTACTATTGTTATTCAAGCTTTAACTTTTCTAATCTTTGTTACTCTATCAATTATTATTCTAATCTCAACTATTCTTACCTTTATTATTCTAATTTCAATTATTCCAATCTTTATTATTCAATCTTCTATTATTCAATTTTCTATTATTCAATTTTCTATAATTCAATTTTCTATTATTGAATAATCATCTCCTCATCATCTGATTCATCATCAGATTCATCTACCTCATCATCATATTACTAAATCTCATCATATTGTTAATATTCATCATCTTCAGATTACTCACTTACTGTTATATAGCCTTCACTGAATATATCTGAACTATCATATTCACTAATTTTTTGTTCTAAACAATAGTTCAAAAACAATTACTTGGAACTTTAGTTTTTTATTTCATGAGTTATTGAAACTCAAACAATTTATCAACTGGATCTTCAGTAACTACTAAAGAAAACAACTACAATAAGGCGAATATATAAAGCATTCCGTTTTATAATATTAATAAAAATATTACATATAATTAAAGTTAAATGAAAAATTCCAAAAATCAGAATCTATTAACTAATAAAGTATATAAATATATAATCATACATGCATTATTTTAATTTATGCTATATCATTTAAAGGTTTAATTTTTTAATTATGTTCTGATAATATACAATTAAAATATGGTTTAATATAATGTAGATTCATAGATAAGAGCGATATTTGAGTGGAAAATATAGGCCAAATAAATATACTAAATTATGATTGTATTTAATTTAAAAAATCAATGAAATCAATCAAAACTAAATTAATTGCAAATACTTCTTAGATAGAGACAACAATTAACAATCACAGCATTACTTCTCGTAAAGTTCCTAAACTGCCTTAACTTAATATGAAATATAATTAAGTTTTATCTTCATCAAGAAAACTTGTTGTAGAGGAGAATGGAGTTTTGGCTTAGTTAAACACTTAAAAAAAGGAATTGATAAAATTGATATATGAAAGATAATTAGATGAAGCTTTAGAGAGTAAATGATTAATCCAATACAATAGTAACAAAAAAATTGGTATAACAATGTATAAGTTATGATGATCTAACTATATTTGGTAAATCATTACATTTGTTAGCAGACATGTATATATCAAATAGAGAATTTAACAATGGCTTATACATATTTAATGTCTTACGCATTTTAGCAGATATCTAAAATAATTAAACACTCAAAATTGAAGCACTTATATAAATGGGAGATTTGTGTAAATTACAGTAATCATATCATTTAAGCAAAATATATTTTAAAAAGGCTTTACAATATGTCTGGTATTTAAATGATACAGATAATGAAGCTATTATTTATGATTATTTTGGAGTACTCTATTATGTACAAGGTGAATTAAGATTGGCCTAAGAATATCATGATAGAGCCATGAATTTCATTAAAGAATCAAATGATAGTGCAGCCAAAAATCATTCTGTTGAATCAATTAAGGCATATATTAAGAGAATAAATTATTAATCATAAGTTATGAATAAC